TCCCACCACCACCTCTTTATTACCTCCTCCCTTCTCTGGGCCCCCCTCTCTCTATTTCAGCCAACAGCCAACTTCCAATTTTGCATCCCAGGATGCAACCTCCTAGCTCTGTTCTACACCAGAGTTAATAGTGTCTCTACATTTCTGAAGAAAGAGGTACTAGTGCCACAGATTTTCTGTCTGCCCTATTCTTAGATAGAATAGGTTTGAATAGTGGCTTCCTTCCTTATTTTTATACAGTGTTTTTTTTTTCAGATGTCAAATACGTTTGGACCACCAGTTGTTTCTTAATTTAGTTATAGTTTATGATAATTTTTGGTACAGGATTTAAGACTCCTTTTTGTGGGTATTTTAATGGGCTTTTGGGATAGGTCAAACGGAAGAAATTTTGTTTTTTAATGGAATACAAACATACTAATTTCAGACACTTGCTACTTAGCAGGCATTGGTATATTTTGATTAACTAAACATTCAGGTTAATAGACCTTTGTATTAAAAATAATCCACTTTGCAATGTGAGATAGTACAAGTATATTTGAGCTTTTGTACTCTGGAATGTGTTAGGATTGTGTGTTAGTCACTAAACGTATTGGCATTTTTCCTCTCCTGTGGTGTCGATCTGGTTTTTATAATGAAAAAGCTCATTGATATGGAATAAATAAGCCTATATTATTTGTATAATGAGACTGAGTTTGAGGAGATTTAATTGCTTGATATTCTCTTGTCTGGTATAGTTCTGCCACGTAATACTGTGCATTCATCAGCTTCCTTATCTACAAAATGGGGATAAGAGGAATCTATTCGGCTTGTATGTGTAGGATGTCTGCCATCTACTAGCTGTGGTACCAGGCTGTGTAGCCCCCTGCCTCGCCGCTCGTCTACAACAGAAGCACCTGCGATGAGAGAGCTCGGTGTAAAGGCGCTACAGAGGCGCACACACTCAGTCACATATTTGATGATTACTGTGTTCAACATCCTTTTATGATTCTTTCTTTTTACCGCATCTGTGAGACCCATTTCTGATCAACTAAGTCAAAATTTTGGTAAATAGGAACCAAATTTAGAATTGGTCCAGGTCAGTGATACAAAGAACCAGTATGGCCAAGTTTGGCTTAACAGGTTGACATGAAATAAAGATTATTCTGTTGATGTGTCCAGGTGTTGCAAGAGTCTAACGGGAACAAAATAGGCTACAGGTTGGAGATAGGAAGAAGCTTCCCACAGAAATAGCCAAATGCAGCTTCTGTTTGCTTCCTCTTTCCCCCAAATTTGATTGGTAAGTTTCAAACAAGAAATGATGAAAGAATTTTTTTAGAACACACATGTAACCAGTACGTAGATTCTAATAGTTCATCATATTTGCTTTATCAAATAAATACTCATTTTGTTATTTTTTGGGTTCTTTGCAAAGAAAGTTGAAGACATCAATGCACATCACCTCCAAATACTTCAGCATACATAGCACAAACTAGAGTTAAATATTTGTGTTTTTTTAATTTAGCAAAAATTTACATGTAGTGAAATGTAAAATTCTTAGGTGTAACATTTAATGAATTTAACAAGTGTTTGCACCTATGTAATCCAACCTTACCGAGGTGTCAGACATTTTCAGTCATTCCAGAAAGTTACTCTTGCTCTTTTCCACTCACATATGCACTGCCTCTTATCCAGTGCACAGTCACTCTTGTCATTTTTTCCACCATATATTGGTTTTGCTTGTTCTGGAACTTCACATCAATACAGTTATTCTGTGTATATTCTTTTGTGCCTGGCCATTTTGAATAAAGCTGCTCTGAATATTCTTTGTGCCTTTTTGTAGACATACGTTTATTTCTCTTGTAGTAAATGCCTGGAAGGTGGAGGGCTAGGTTGTATGGTATGTGTTTAACTTTAAGGAACTGCTAAACTGTTTTCTGAAGTAATTTTAAGTAATATTTCACACTCCCATCAATAGTGTATGAGCATGTCCATTACTTGACATCTTTACCACAAGTTATCATCTTTTTAATTTAAGCCATTCTGCTTTGTGTATGGTGGTATCTCATCATAATTTTAATTTGCATTCCCCTGATGAATTTCTTATGTGCTTTTTGACCATTAGTATATCTCCTTTGTGAGGTGTCTGTTCAGATCTTTTGCCCTTTTAAAAAAAAAATTGAGTTGTCTTGTTATTATTGAGTTGTACAGGGTCTTTGTAAGTTTGGGACCCAGTACTTCATCAGATATATGTCTTACAAATATTTTCTCCCAGTCTGGCTTGCCTGTTCATTTTCTTAACAGTATATTTTGATCACCAGTTTGTATTTGTCTATGTTTTCTGATAATTTTTACTATTCTTTGTGTCTTAAGAAACCTTTGCCTGTCATTGGGCTGCAGGGAAATTCTCCTGTTTTCTTCTAGAAGATTTATATTAATGCTTTTATGGATTTTTTTTTTCTACTTTTCTTTTTTTTGATTCTTAAATGATCCATGGATTATTTAGAAGTGTGTTTAATTATGATTCTAATGTTTTGAAGTTTATTGAGGCTTGTTTTATAGCCCAGCATATGGGCTACTTGGTGAATCTTGAAGAGTGTATATTCAGCAGGTGTTGGGTATAGTGTTCTATAGTTGTTAAGTAAGATGATTGATAGTATTGCTAGGTCTTTGTTCTTGCTGAATTTTTTTCTGGGGTGTGGGTGTGTTTTGGTTAGTCCATTAAATTGTTGAGAGATAGGAATTAAAATTATCAACTTTCATCTTGGATTTGTCTTTTCCCCCTTAATTGTGTTAGTTTTTGCTTTACACATTTTGAGGCCTTACATGCACACATTAGAGCATACACCTTACATCTCTTATGGCTCCTCAAGGATTTGCCCCTTTTTATATTACTAAATGTCCAATTTAAAAAGATCTTTGGAAGTATTCTTTGTCTTGAAATCAGCTTTATTTGGTATTAATATAGCCAGCCACTGTATTATCAGAATATGCCTTATGCTTGCTAATAGGTTATATCATATGCCATCCATTTACAGTTAACCCTGGAACACTCAAGGGTTAAGGGTGCCAACTCCCTGCACAGAACTTCATGTATAACTTCATTCCCCCAAAATTTAACTACTAATTGTCTGCTGTTGACTGGAAGCCTTACCAATAACATAAATAGTAGATTAACACATATTCTGCATGTTTATATATATTATATATTGTATTCTTCCAATAAAGTAAGGTAGAAGAGAGAGAACATTTTTTCAAATAGTTGAAAGTCTCAAAAAAATTTTCCCTATTGGGGAAAAAAAAGTCTGTGTTAAGTAGACCTGCACAGTTCAAATCTGGGAGGCTCAAGGGTCAGTAATACTCTCAGCCTATTTGTTTTTGTATTTCAAGTTAGTCTCCTGTAGACACCTATAGTTCAGTTTTGCCTTTTTATTTTCTGCTTTTTAAATTGAATGCTTAGTTAATAATTAATGTAATTATTGATGTGATCGGATTAGTCTATTCTTTCTCTATTGTTTTCTAATTTTCTTGTTCTTTGTTTCTCTTGTTCCTTTTTAACAGCTACCCTCTTTTGGGTTGAGTATTTTTTAGAATCCATTTAATTACTTGCTAGCTTTTTGTCTCTACCTCTTCATGTTAGCAGTTCCTCCTTGATTATACATGTGTCCTTAACATCTCACGTTCTATTTTGTGTTAGTATTGTATCACTTTCTGTAAAATTTAAGAATCTTGTAACTTTAAAGTTTGATTTGCCACCCCTCTTCCTTTGTATTTTATTCTGTACTAGTCATTTGTATTATATTTAGATAAGCTATAAGTCCACAGTATAGAATTTTTGCTTTATACAGTTATATGTATTTTAGAGAAATTAGGAGGAAAAAATGTTTTTATGTTTACTCACATGTTTCTCAGAAATCTGAGCTTCCATTTGGTATAATTTCCCTTCACCCTCAAGAACGTGTAGAGGAGGTTGAATGACAACTGATTCTCTTAGTTTTCTTTTATCTAAAAGCATCTTTATTTTTCCTCCTTGGTGGAGGGGGGATGACTTTACTGAGGTGTGATTTATGTACGATAAATTTCATCCATTTGAAATAACTTGTTTAAGCTGGCGGTGAATTTCTCTGAGCTTAGGCTCTGTTTCCTCTGGGTGGGCAGCAGCTGACATACTTAGTCTCAGTTGGTTGCATGGTGTCTGCCTCACACATGTGTAGTTTAATGGTTTGCAAGAGTGTGGACAGTTTATACACAGTTGGGGCTCCCCCTCTCTGGCTCATCCCTCATTTTCTAGCTCATCTGTCCCCCAGTTTGTCAACCAGCAGATTTGGGGTTTTCTTTCTGAACTTCATCAACTGTCCAGTAGCAGCAGCTTGCAAAGAGGACAGAAAACTCCATGCCGCTCCCTTCTTCCGGGCATCTTCTCCGCTTCGTTTCTGCTTGCTTTTGATTGCTCTTTAGTACTTTCAGATGGTTTTTTTATATTTTGTCCAGAGGTATAATTGTTCATCTGCCAGAACATCAGTTAGACATGAGCTGCTGCCCCATTAGCAGAAGTGGGACCCTTTTTGTTTGTTCTTGATCTGGGTCATTTGAGACTTGGGTTGGTCTTTGCTATATTGGGTTGAAAAACCAAGCTAGTTCACCCAACTCATTATAGACGTTAAGTAAATGCTTATTTTACATTCCAAGACCACATGTAATTTTATTTTTCACATTCATGCCACTACTATTCATTTTTATTAATAGTATATTAACTTTTTCCTCAATTTCACCAATTAGGAAATTAGTAATGCAGGCCAATAGGTTAGTTTCACAAAGTCATGTGCTTGCTGGTGGCCAGCACAGTTGGAATTCATATCTTGTTTAGTTTTTTTGATCTGAGAGCCCACAACACTGAATGGTGGTATCTTCTCTCACTATTTTAAATTTACTTGTAACTCTATCAGTTCTGCTTTAGAACAAGTAGAGATGAAAGAATGACATCAAAGATGAAATATATAATTATAAAACCTGTTGTGTTTTAGGAAATGGAAGTACCGGTATTACCGAAAATCTCTCTACCCATCACCAGTGCTTCACTGCCTACCTTCAGTTTTAGTTCCTCTGTGGTTACAACTTCCTCTCCATCACCCATTAGTCCTTTGCCATCAACAACAACAAACAAGGTATGAAACCATTGTACATATAGAGGTGATTTTTGTTCTTTCTTATTCTTTACTTTTAAAAATTAATCCTTTATTTAAAGCAGTGATTAATTTTCACTATAGAAATTAAATAAGTCAGTAAGAAAAAAATGGAAATAGTGTTTAGCTTTTTTTTGTAAATATACATTATAATAGATACATTATAATGGGAGTATTCTTCAGTTCTTATGCAATGCATCAGAGAAGGAGGTGATTGTAAATTTGTTTCCATGCAGTGTTTCCAATTAAGATATTTTTTTGTTTTTGTAAGAATGTTAATCTGCTCCTGAAATTTTTGTACATTCCTCCTGGCTTTTACTTTTTCTGAACATATTCTAATAGGTGTTATTTTTCTCCTTGAGGCAGATGTCTACCTCTAAGACAGTGCATATTCCTCTTCTAAGAGGAAGTCAGGTTTTATAGGAGTTACGTCAAGTATTTTTCAGAAATTAAAAAGTGATTTTTAAATGTAGTGAAAAAAATTGCTTTTGGGATTTTTGGAATAATCTGTTTTAAAGTGTTGTTGTCAGTATCTTTTTTCTGAAAATTTCTTTAATAATTTGGAAAACCAGGTACAAACAGCCTCTCCAAACAGTATTGGCAGTCCCATGTTTAGATTTTCATCTCCAATTGTAAAATCTACTGAGGCAGATGTACTACCTCCATCATCTGTAAGTAGCAAGCAAGGAATATTTTATGTTTATTGATTTCAAAGGCATACTATATTTTTTATCAAATCTAAGATGCTATTGGTAGTAATACATACCACTGTTAACTTAAAAAAATGGCAGTGTTCAGAAAACTTAACTGAGTTTACACCTGTATGTGTTTGACTACATATGTATAAGCGTATGCATTTTCTCAGGCACCATTTGGAAGTTAAGATGCAGACATCTTGATACCTTAATATTTCTCCATGTATCCCCTAAGGTAAAGCACATACACGCACAATACAGATATCATACCAGTGAGATCAAAGTCATGGCGTGATAACGTAGCTCATACTCATCTTTCTGTCCTTCAGTTGGTGTCTTGTTTCTCTTGTCCTTCCTCCAGTTAAGATTAGAACCTGATCAACTAAATTATACTGCATTTAGTTAACATGTTTCTTGAATTACCTTTATCTATAAAAGTTTTTTTAGTTTTTATATCCCACAATATATATTTATTTCTTTATAACTAAGAAATAAATATTTGGGGTAAGAACAGTACATACGTTTAATACTCAGGTTGCCCCACCTGTATCTGGCATGCATGTCATTTAAAAACATTGCCTTCAGATTTTCACTCTGTCCTTGTTTTCTGTCATAAGTAGATGTTCTAGGTCCTTAACGCATGCCTGAAATCTGTTGTCCAAAAAGTTCCATACTTTCTATTTGAAAATGGCATTAGAAACCCAGACCTGGGCATTAGGGACACCTTACTGTTTTATGTGCTGCTTTGAGAGAAAAAGTGCCTGAGAAATTTAAAATGCTGCATACTATTCTTTATAGGAAGGATTCCCAATTTTAGAGATTGTAAACTATGAAAAACTGAGTCTTAGATGAAGTTCAGTATAATTTTTTTACTAGGAATGAAGAAAGTTCTGCATTTAAGTTTATACTTACCTAAGGGATACTTTTTATGATTGCAGATTGGATTTACATTCAGTGTGCCTGTTGCAAAAACAACAGAACTTCCTGACTCTAGTAGTATTTCAGAGCCAATTACAAGTAGTTCCGGTAAGTAAATATTTCTCCCAAATTTTCTCTTGGAAATAGTTGCATACATTAGATTAGTATTCAAATTCTTTCATTTTTGGCAATTCTTATAAATGCTTTCATTTGAATGAAATTAGCTCTGAAAAGCAAACAGGAGGTAATATCAACCTTCACAAGTGCTTTTTAGTAATTATCCTCAGAGATAAGATACTTAGCTCCCTAAAGGTAATTGTTAGAGTTTGGTTGTGAGAAGGACAGTCACAACAGCAAAGTTACCTCTTGTCCTTTTTTAGTAACAACTAGGTGCCAATTCATCATAGACAAAGTCTCCTAAGAAATTCACATGTTGCCTAAGTTTTAATTGCAGTGGACTCCATCTCTGGGTTTACTGTTGAGTTCACAGCATTGACATCAGATGAGATTAATTGTTTTAAAGGGAACAGTTCAGCTGTATTTAGTACATCCACAGTGTGCAACTACCACCTCTCTAGTTCCAGAATATTTTTACCACTCCCGGCAAGAAAACTGTGCTCGTGTAGTTGCTCCCCATTCTCCCAACTCCTGTCAGCCTCCAGTGTGTGTTTTGTCTGTATGTATTTACCTGTTCTGGAATTGCACGGTGTGACTTGCTGCATGTGTCTTCTTTCACCTACTGTTTTCAAGGTTCATCCATGTCATTGTATGTATCACTACTTCAGTCCTTTCATGGCTGAGTGGTAATCCACTGTGTGGATATACTGTAATCTTTCTGTTCCTCCATTGATGGATATTTGAGCTTTTTCCCCCCAAAATTTGAGTATTTGTTTGAATACTGGTTTCAGTGCTTTGGAGGATATGCCTAAGGAATGGAGTTGATAGGTCAAAGCTTTTTCTCAGCAGATGACTTATTTCACATTTCCAGTAGCAGTGCTTGAGGTTTCTAATTTCTCCACATTCTCAACATGCTTATTTTCCCCTTCTTTTGATAGTAGTCATCCTAGTGGACATGAAGTGATGCTTCACTGTGGCTTTGATATGCATTTCCCCAATGACTAATGGTGTCAAATATACTTTCATGTGCTTGTTGGCCCTTTAGGTATCTTCTTGGGAGAAATGACTATTCAAGTCCTTTGCCCATATTTAAACTGGTCTGTCTTTTTATTGCCAAGATAATATTGGTTATAGATGCTTACCAGATACATAATTTGCACATAATTTCCTTCATTTGTTTGTCTTTTCACTTCCTTGATAATGTCCTCAGATTTACAAAGGTCTTGAATTTTGGTGAAGCCTGATTTTTCTTTGTGCCTTTTGGTGTCATATCTAATAATCCATCGCCAAATCCGTGGTCACGAAGATATCTCTTAGGTTTCTTCAAAGAGTTCTGTGGTTTTAGTTCTTATGCTTAGATCACCCATTTTGAATTAATTCCTGTTAGTGATCTGAGGCAGGAGCAGGTAGAACTTCTTGAAACTACCTACTCCCTTTAAGTCAGCATACACTTATGAAGGAAAAACCTAGTTATTTATGTTTTATTGTGGACAATTTCAGTCATTCTGAGAAGCAGAGTAGTAGACTAAATCCACATACATTTTTTACTCAACTTCAACATTTACCCCCCCATTTTACAGCCAGTCTTGTCTCTCCTTTCCTCCTCCCACTCTTCCCCCACACGACCCTGACACGCCTATCAGTTCCTGTGAAACAGTCCTGGACATACTTCATCTATAAACAGAAACTTCCCTCTTAAATATATAACCACAAACCATTATCATACTCAAAATATAGATCTCTTAAGTGTAAGGATATATTTATTTTGGAAAGTTTGGAAAGCATGAAAAGTAAAAGCAATGAAAGTCATTTATCACCAGCAGACACCATTACTCTTTAGATGTGAATATGCAAAATCTTCTGGACTTTCTAGCCTTTTACTTATAACTATGCTGGTAAGAGTGACTTTTGTGGCTGTGTAGCATTCTGTCATGTCATTCTGTGATTTATGTAACAAGCCCCTTATTACTGAGCATTTATCATCCAGGTTTTCAATACTGTAACTGAAGGATATTTTCAATCATGAGATGAATTTCTAGAAATAAAATAAGTGCCTCAGTTGGATTTATTTTCAGGGTTTTTGATTGATACTGTACATTGCTGCATGGGCAGTATGTGGTTCACGCAGTGTGTGAGCTGTCCCCAGGTTCCAGGCCCTCTCCAGTGTTTCGGTTCGATCATCTTGATTACCAGGGAATTGACTGGGTAACAGTTGCAGCTGTTAGTACTTTGCCCTTTTGGAGGAGAGATATGTACAGTATGGAATATGGTATTTTTTCCTTGCTTATACTGGCAGGTTAGCACTGTACTTTCAAGTAATTTGTTCATTATCTTTGAATTACAGTGACTTTTTTCATGATGTTTTAGAAGTTGGGCTTTGAAAGATTTTTTTAATATACTTGGTCCAGTGCTTTTTCTTAGCATAATATCTTTTACAATCAAAAAAATTACAGCTCAGGATAACACCGTGGTGAACAGTACAAGCTATAGGAAGATACCAGATGAAGATGGTGGAAGCCTTTGTAGACCTGCAGAAATCCTGAAAGAAGGAAGTGTCCTAGATGTTCTGAAAAACCCTGGTAAGGCACCAGCTGCCCTTGAAATAGTCTAAAATTTGAATCACAAACTCATGGTTTTATTTTAATGTTATTTGTGCTATACTTTAGGTTTTAAAAAAGTTATGGGTAGTTTTGTAGGAGATTGACTTTTGATGTAGATTTGGTCAGATTCTTTTGGGGGAAATATCTTGGAAACTCTACTTATTTCTTTAGAATTCAAGGACTCTTTACTAAAGTGAAATCTCTTCAGAGGCAAGTGTAAGCCCGATGATATACCTGGTCATGTCTTTCTTTGATTAATGTGGAACTGCCTTGTTCTCACTATCAGATTACCCAGCTGTTGTGTGTGTGTGTGTGTGTGTGTGTGTGTGTGTGTGTGTGTGTGTGTGT